CATATAAGTGTGGTTTTCACTCTGTCCAGATCACTTTGGCCTTTTGTTAAGTGTTGCAGTAATGGATGGCATTAGACTTTTGGCTGGTCGTGCTCGTCTGCATCTTAGTGTATCTGTGTCCAGAGGGGAAGGGGTGTGTGTGTGAGGTGTGTGTTCAGGTAATGTTCTCATTCATCTAAACACCAGCCTGGGAAGTTAGCTTACTTTGTAGACCTTTTACAAGCAACTATCCATGAACTGGTGGTTTGATTTGGTCTTGAGATGCTTGCGTTTTTTTTTTTATTTTGTTGAGATGAGCAGAATCCTGAAATAAAGTGGTTGATGTGGAGTTTCAACATCACTTGTCAGAAAAGTAATTGGTCATTCTTTAAGCCAAAATGCCAAAACATGTTTTTAGCCTCTTAAATATGAAGATGTTCTGCGTTTTTCTCTATTTTATTTGATTTAATATGTTTGGTTTTGGATTATTATTATTATTTGGATACTAGAGGATGTTTAAAGACCTCAGACTCTGGACTGGGTATATTTTTGCTCTTTTCTAATCTTTGACGCGCCAAACGATCAGTTAATTGATTGATACATTAATTGATCATTAATATTATTGTTTACTCTAGCCATATGCTGATATATCACTAGATGACATTAATAGTTTTCTGTATGTGTCTTAGCAATATTGACTGACTTGGAGAAATACTGCTAACAGTTCCAGAGCTTTTGCGTACGTGGTTCCTTGGCAGTCGACAGCAGTAATATCAACACACAGGAATAAACGGGCATTAGCGTGATGTAGGCCAGGCTTCAGGATTGGCACAAAACCAAACCAGCTTTTTGTTGTGTGTGATGATGGAGAGGTGTTTCTGTAGCACAAAGGACAGCTGTACCAAGTAGTATTACACGACTGGCCAGAAAGCCAACCAGTATATCAGGAATAATGGGCCTGCATTTCACTCTGATTCATTAGTTTTGCTGAAGTAGTCTCGTGTGGCGTGTCCTGTTCCTGCCGTGCTGTACATGTTGTCACAACAGTGCACTTCAGGTCAAAACAGTGTTCTTCCTCCGCTGTGGTATCTTTGAATGCACATAAACAAACGCAGTAGATGCAGAGTTGTATTTAAATATAAAATGTACGTGTATAGTCTGTGGCTTTCAACCTAACGGGAAGTGATTCAGTGACAAAGAGACTCTGTTGTTTTCAGCAACAAGCTTCAGAACTGGTTTTAGTGTTAGTTTCAGAAGGCTAAGCTGTTTCTGTGGCGGACCGTGTGAAGTCATCTACCTCAGTCTTGTTCAGATGACAGAACTGCTTGTACATGTGCTGGATGCTTCTTTGCATCGAGGGGTTTCCAGGAACATTCGTACCTACAAGGAAATGAACTCCTGACCATGTCTGTGCTAATGTCACACACTGATCCTAGAAATGGATTACCCATTCAGACAGCGCTGTATAGATTGATTAGCCTGTGATCTGACTGTCTCACAGTCAGTGTACAGCAGCCGGCAGGGACAAAATCTGACAACAAACAAAAAATAAATTCAACTTTTCACATTGATACGGTCCAGTCTCACTATGGTTTATGTAATTTTTAACTAATATGCTGTTCTGCTCAGTGTGACTATAGCCCCGATGTTTGTGTAGGTGAAAAGCAGGAAAGCCTTTGTGGTGTTCTTGTCTGGAACGTCAGTGGAGTCATAAAGCAGGACGTCGTTTAAGTCATGTATCAGGCAGTATTATCTACAGCTAGAGGAGATGGCAGAGAAGCATTTCACTAGCTGGTATAAGATGACCAGAAGGACAGGTTTGCCTTTTCCCTCCGCTGAAGTGTCACTCGTGTCCTCTCATGCATGTGGTTCCCGGGGTCACACACTAGCATGTGATCGTAGTGCCTCCTCTGGCTCTCCCGACAGGCGTTAACAGTTCATGTTTGACTGTAGCTGTTGCAGCACAACAGAGCAAATCCACCCCTAGACACACCCGCACCCTTCCAGTCACAATGTGGCGAGCAGCTATCCCAGCTCCTGTGGGTGTCGTGCAGTCTGGCCGCCCCGCTGGCCGCTCACACTTTCCATACAGGCAGGCGGCGGTGGCTGCCAACTGGGACCGTACTGGAGAAACAGGCTGGTAATGACCGGGTTCAGGTTTGCCACTGTGTTTAGAGTTAAAGCCAAAGAAAGTGAAGAGAGTGTCCAGCCACACAACAGCTACGAAGGTTAGAGAGAGTAAAAACAGTATGATGTGGATAATAAATACTGTACTATGTGTATAATAATCCGGTTTAACACGGCCTCCTGCCAACTCATAAATACCAGTAAAACTACTTGTTGAAGGATGAACCCGTCGGTGATCATGTGATAGATTTGATGTGATAACATTTCTAAAGCATGTTTGTCTCTTTCCTTGTCATCACGTGCACTCGTAGTTTACATATTTCCTACAATAAATCCTGCGTTGCCTTTCTTTACCAATGTGTTGGGAGCGATTATGGGATGTTCTATATTTGCACAGTTCCCATTAAATAGCTGTAATTAAGAGCCGGCTCAGTACATCCGGGGTGTGTTTATCAAATGCTTCAGGTCCAGTCTTTTAGAAGAAGAGAGATGAGGTCCAACAGAACCAAAGCAGACTTTTGGTGTGAATGACAGTGTTTCCCAGCATGCCCTGGCTGTCACCCTCTGTGTTTCTTGTTGAGGTTCCTTTTCATTGCAGATACTTCCATCAGTGAATCAATGGGAGTGTTCCCTTTTCTGCTTCATGCTGTGCTTTGTGTAATTAAATAAGCATGAATGGAGCACATGACCCGGTTGCTTTTCTTACCAGTGTCTGTGTGTGTGTGCGCACATGCACGTATTAATATAATTTGCTGGGGTTAAGTATGTATGAATGCCTTGTTGTTTGAAGAATAATGTCATTGTGAGTGAATGAATTGACCCTTCATGCATTTCCTATTGACGGTGTGTGTTTGCTGATTTGCGCATCTGTGTGCACCCCTCCACAGTATCATCTAAAACACTGAACAACCTGAATCCATCTGTTGGGTGGAAAGAAAACATCTATAAAGGAAATAGAAATAACTTGCTGTGCAGATACTGGACTACACGTAACATTTATTATTCATTTTTTAAACTTTATTAGTGTTATTATATTAATGTATTATTTTTAGTACAGATTCGTTTTCTGATTGTTTTCATCAAGTTTGGTCTCTTAAGATATCAGAAAATAGCAAAAGTCCCAAATTAACAGTTTATAATGTTATAAAAGTAGAAGATATTTGAATTAGAGTCCAAAAAGTAGACTTATTGATTAACAGATGATTGGCAAGTTGCTTTTTTTCTTCTGATAATTAGCTGTGTGTCCTTGTACAGAACATTTACATGTGTTTTAGTAGGAGGTTAATGTGAAACGTCTGCCTAGTTGCTAATACGGGCATTTCCGTTGTTTCAGAGTACTTTTGAACTGTTGCGAAAACTTTCTTAATCGTGTGCTAAAGGCTGCGTGTTTATCTGTGCTTACGTGCAGCCATGTTTCGACTAGCTTGGTGTGAAGACGTGTTTGCTTGTGGTGTCGACCAACTCCCAACAAAATTTTTTTAAGGCGACATGATGGAACATGTAGAGACAATGGGTTGATGTCCTGAGCAGCTTTGTCAGTGTGTGTCTCCCGGTGCTGTGCTGGTTAACATACATGTCACAAGTGGCTTGCTGCTGACCGAACTAAAGCTCAGATTATTGTCTGTCTGTAATTTAGCAATTAACTGGTCGCAGAAAAACTCAATTCTGCTGGTTGACAAAAGACAAAACTAACAAAAGAGTAGCTAAGGACTTTATTCCAAAACAGGACTTAGGGGAATTGATTTAAGATGCCTGGTGATGGAACTGATAAAATAATAAGAGATATGACTAGAAATAAGCCAATAGAGGTTACTGCTGGCAGCATAATGTTCAGCTGCTGGTGTTGAGTACTACAGTGTGTCTTACAGTTCTGGATGACTGCTGAGTGAAGTACAGTCGTCCTCTAATGTAGTCATAGCCTCCCATTAAAGAAGGAAAAAGAAACGACTCACTGAAATAAGTTCAAAATGACAAAAGTAAGAATAAATTAAAGATTTTAATAAAAATCACAACATTGCTTTTGAATTGTGGTTCAACAGAAATCTTTTAAAAGAACAAAATCAAGCAAACCAGCATGATGGGACCCACAAACTAATATCTAGTTGAACAACCCTCTGAGCCAATCAGGTGTTTCCTGTAACTCTCAGTCAGACTTCTGCACCTGTTGACAGGTGTTCTGGACCACTGCTCATCAGCAAAGGGCTCTCATTTGTCGGGGACATTTTTTATTTTATTTTTTTATTCTTTTCAACCACAACTCAAAAGCAATGTCTTATTTCACTAAATTATAATTTAGCAAATTTTTATTTATTATTACTTTTTTCAGTTTCTAGTTATTTGAGGGACGATTGTGAATTTTGCCTTTTCTTTAATGAGAAAAGGCAATGAGGACGACTGTACGTGCATTTAAGCTTTTAATTCCCACGAAGTTCTGAATCAGAAGTGTGTTGGAAATAGAACCCACTAGAACTGTGATTATGAGAACCTTAATGACACCACTCGTAGCCAGAAAGAGACCGTGACACTCAAATGACAAGCGTGATCTTTTAAAGAGACTGAGGACTGAAAACAATCTCAGGAATTGTGTCACTTCCTGTTTGAGGTTGCAAATTAGCCTTACTTCTGGGCAGGTGTCATCAACTCAGAGATGACAGAGTGCTTAGATTACCTTGGCCAGCACTCAAACATGTGGGTTACAGAACCGCAGAGTTGTTTGGATGTTGTCTGGCATGTCTTTTGTCTGTGTGCTGGATTTGTTCGTTGTCGTTTGATGTTGCGACGCCAGATGCAGTGACTTCTACAATGTTATACCTGTATAATTCATTGAATAGGCAGCTATGACGAGGAAGCTTTTAAATGTTCTAAAGGCTTACGTCTGGCTGTGCGTGCAGGCGGCCTTCCGACAGAGCTGGGCAGACAGGAGGGAAGGGGAGAGCTTCAACCCTCGTCTCCCTTGCCGACCCTGAGCGAACCAGCTAGCCATGGATGACAGCTCCTCACTGGGCAAAGTCAGCAGCTCCACAGAGTCCGTGGCCACCGTTACCAGTGAGGAGTTTGTTCTGGTGCAGACCAGCTCTGCCGGATCACCACAGGGCTCTGAGGGCAAGCCAAGACTCAAGGTCAGAACCACACACGGACGCAGTTTTGCATCTGATTTAATCGGTTTGTATCGGCAGCCGTGTCCACGTTGTACAAAACTGTAGAGTAATCGATGTTTTAAGCTGTCTGGAAACTACTGGTCTGATTTTAAGGCGTAAAATGTAAAATACAGCAACGAAACACCTCCTTTTCTATCACCTGAACAAATAATCAACGTTAAATCAAGATGGCAAACAATTAGCAAATCACAAAGGCTGCAGTGTGTGATTAATGTGTTGCACCACGTCTGACCCGAGCTTAAACTGTTGAGTCAGATTCATGCCAGCCTCCTTGTATGACACTTTTGATGCTATCTCATGTGATAATGCTGTGTCACGTTTTAAAGCATTTCACAGTGAATCGTGACCAGAAAAAAAAAAGTAAATAAAAAATCGCAAATCAAGTTACTCTCACAATATCTGTCAGAAGGAATAAAGGGCCAGATAAATGTTTGTCTCAGTCCGAGTGAATCTTCCCTCTGTTTCATCTCTCCTTGTTTCCCCGATGTTTTGTCTTTTTCTCTCCCCCTCAGATGTCTTGGAATGGGAGTGAACAGCTGGAGAAAGCTATGGAGGAGTTATTGGATGATGACGACGAGGTGAAGGTAGAGAAGAGCAGCGTGGAGAAGATGGAGAAGCACAGGGAACCGGAGAGCCGAGCCCCGGAAACCCAGCCAGCAGGTAAAGACTCCGGATCTTCCAGTTTCATTTTAGGTGTTTGCAGGAAGTTATGGTCTCTGTTAATTGACCCAATTAATTCAAGTACAGCATATCCTTCCAGTCAGCATGTAGTTTTTTTTTTTTAATTAATATGGTGCTATTATCAACAAGCAGTTTGTTTAATTGAATTATGAGTGGACTGCAAGGTGGAGCGGTGGTTAGCACTGTTGCCTCACAGCAAGAACGTCGTAGGTTCACGTCCCGGTGAGGACACCCGGGATCTTTCTGCGTGGAGTCTCCATGTTCTCCCCGTGCAGCGTGGGTTCTCTCCGGGTTCTCCAGCTTCCTCCCACAGTCCAGAAACATGCTGAGGTTAATTGGTGATTCTAAATTTTCTGTAGGTGTGAATGTGAGTGTGCTTGGTTGTCTGTCTCTAAGTGTAGCCCTGTGATAGACTGGTTACCTGTCCAGGTGAACCTGCCTTCACCCTGAGTCAGCTGGGATAGACTCCAGCCCCCTGTGACCCTAGTGAGGATTAATCAGTGTATAGATAATGGATGGATGGATGGATGGATTATGAGTTTGACTGTTTGTTCACACTTCAGCTGAAAGTTTCCAACATTTTACTGAAATTTAAATTGTTAAATCAGAAAAGTGTTGTTGTGCCTGTACACATATGTCTTGTTGTAGAAACTTGTCTTTACAGCATTGAACATGTGACACAGTGAATATATTCAGTGTCCTCAAGGATCAGCTCATTCAACACTGAAAGGTTCTGGCCTCAATGGAAAACATTATTCTGAGTTGATGTTATTATAGGATATACATATTAGAAAAAGATGTACAAAACATTTATAATTATGCGTTATCATTTATTAGAGGGGTGTGAATAAACTCACAGTATATTTGTTCTTGTTTCACTGAAGCTGAGCATCAGTGTGGAACTAATAATATATAAACACTCTTGTTAGCAAAAACATGTAAATTGAGAAGCGGGCGGCGTGCAGGCCGCTGACTTACCGGTTTTGGCCGTATCAGATTTGCAAGGCTGCCATCTGAACTCTCTGACATTGACTTAGCTGCTTTGTATAATAGCAAGGACAGGTTGGTCCAGATGGTTCAACAAACATTGGTGCAAAAATAACGCTCTCGCAGGGGTCAACACAATGCGCCGCTTAGCCCAGTGGCAGCTGCAAGGAATTAGCACTAGCAGGCGCACAGCTAACAGGTCGCAGTCTCTCAGGGCCGTCTCGTTATTTAAAGTGCACTCCTCATTAATTATATCCAGTTACACAGAATTTGTGGAGTCACCAGACCAACCTCGTGCTCATTATGTTGAAGAACGTGGCATTCTTTGATTTGACTCTGGAAAATGTTGCTGTGTGGTGTTTGTGGTGTTTCAGTTTCATATCAAACACGAGTCTGACACGTGTAGTGCCGGCAACCGCTGGATTAACGTCACACATGCTTGTCTAACGTGGGATTTAAACCTGTTGTTTTTTACTTGAGAGACCATTAAATTGAACTCTTCAAACACTACAGATAAATAATTGTCACTATTCGAATCAGATGAGATGTGCTCTAGTTCAAAGTTCCTCTGTATGTATTTTTGGATGATGTTGACACGTGTCGAGCATCTGTGGTTGAAGCTTCTGACTTTCAGGTGAAATGAAACAAACCAGTGAGACCATTTCTTTCAGAGCAGGGAAGCTTACGGCCGTCGCAATGTTGTCAAGAATGAAATGTATTGCGCCAAAAACTGCAAAGAGCCGAGGTATGTCCAGACATTTGTGTAGGACGACGTAAAGATTTTAAAATGTTCTGCATGTAGTTAATTTAGTCTGACAGTCGGTGAATGCAGAGAAATGAAGGTTAAAGGTGGAAAGCTCAAACAAAAGCTGGTAGTTTGACTTACTTACTGTTTTTGGTGGATAATAATGATCATGATAATTTTTCCGTGAGGTTTTGCATGTATTTACTCATTTGCAGTTATTTTCTCTGCTTACTGTTTTTAACATTTTCAATACTTCCAGTTTTGTGGTGTCAGTGGTGGTGCACAGCTGCAGAGTGACTGAAGAGGAAATGGTTAGCATAGTGTAGAAAAAAGAGCCTGTCAGCACCGCAGGTCCTGCTGCTGCTCTCATTGTTCTGCTTCCTGTTTGTGAGCGTAAAAGTTCCAGGTCGAGGGTCATCGCAGAGAAGACCCCCCAGCTTCCTGCGTCACACGATTACTTCTTTATCTTTCCTTCTTGTCAGCAATGTTGTTGCAGTTTCTCTTTCACACAATGCGTTGACAGAGAGACAGTTTAAATCTGATCAGACAGAAAGAATTCATGCAGCTAAGAATGTGGTTAGACAGAAAAACTGACAATATCACAACTTGTCTGTCTGTCTGTCCACAGAAGCATGTCCAGCATTGACCAGCTCCGCGGTCCCCACGGAGGAGGACAGCGTCCAGTTCAACAAGCTGTCCTACCTGGGCTGCACCTGGGTCAAAGCCCCTCGCAACGAGGCCGAGGCACAGAGGGCTATGGCCACCCTGAGAGCTGAGAGCGCCATCCCCATCCCCATCACCCTGCACGTCCCCTGTGGTCCGGATGGCTCTGTCAGGTCGGCCACACAAATGGGACACACTGTGGTCAATAAATTTGTTTGTTTGGCTTAATTAAAGTGCAGATTGGAACTAAAGAAACTCATATCTGATAAACTGACAACAAGTGTTTATGTGATAAATATTAAAATCTAAACTCATAGTATTTGGTCATCATACCAACAAATTCAGCGTTAAGGTCACCTAAAGGAAAAGTGAACGCATTATATCACCAGAAAACCTCCTGAGTTCAACAACTACATCACTGCTTGTTGAATTATGTGCCTGTTAAAGCCGCCCGTCATCTCTGATGCTCGTTAGCCAGCTGAAGAAATTAAGTTACGGAGAACATGGATATGACGGGAGCCGAGAGAAACTTTTCAGTCATCGTGAGTCGTTGAATGAAAGCGGAACATGAAGTATTTACATACACCAAAGAGGAAATAGGACGTAACTTTTTTTTTTTTGTGGTCAGACTGCGATAGTTTACCTTTCTGCACTGTTACAAGACAAACAGATGCCTTAGCTCTGGACTGAATGCACGCTTGGTTGAATATAAAGTTATCTTTGAATCTATTGCTAAACACACTTTACAGTATCTGACAGCAGTTTAGCATTTTATTACACAATATGTTTAAACTTTCAGACTGCTGCGGGTCTGTAGAGATAAAGAAGTCTGAAAAATAAATCATTATTGATAGTAATTTAAATAAAAAATTAGCAGTTAAATAAAGTGCAGCCAGACATACTGGCTCATCTTAAATGCATTCACAGTTACATTTCGTATATTGTATTCAGTTCTACTCTGTTATGTTCTGTATTTGTGGCCCAGAGGATCATTTCCTTGTGTAAAATAAAGTCCGTCTCCCCAGGATTGTGGACCAGGCCTCGGGCACAGAGATCGCCTGCTTCCCCATCTACAAGGTGCTGTTCTGTGCACGTGGCCGAGAGGGCTCGGTGGAAAGCGACTGTTTCTCCTTCACTGAAAGTTACCGAAGTTCCGAGGACTTCCAGATTCACGTCTTCTCCTGCCACATCAAAGAGGCCGTGAGTTGCATTCGTCTACGTTACAGCTGAACGTGGTTTCCGCTCTGCTGTGGAGCTCTTGTATTCATAGCATCACTGCCCAAACTGTCCATAATCACTTTCACAATGTTGTAATTCAAGTGGTCTGAGAGGAAAGCAGACTTCTGCACCCCCTCCTGGATCTGCTTTCAGGCTTTAGAAAACCCAGCCAGTGACAGAAGACTTTAGCCGATCACAGGGCTTTGCCCCCAGATCAGGTGAGACCAGCAGAGTCCGTGGGGAGAGCAGGTTGTGGTGGTGCAGTGGGTTCGACGGAAGTCTTTCACTTCAGCGTGGTCTGAATCCCACGAGGAGCCACAAGTAAAGCTTAATGTTTAGCTCGACTGTTTTTCTGCGTTGTCAGTATGAACGTTAGGACTGAGAAGAAAAAGCTGCACCTGCAGGAAGGACGGCTGTATTTTCAAAATCTATTACTTTTTTTTTGACCTTGTCAGATTTCTGCCCAACCAGCATGAAGGGTTGGTTTAGAAACAACAGGGATTCATGATTAGTTGTCCAACCACGTCAGAAATATAAAGCAACTGATTTGCAGGGTCAAATATGCATAAAATACTGGCTGCTGAAGAGAGGGCTGAGATTTTATTTGTTTATTTGTTTATTTAAAAGGATCCCATAATGCCGGCGAGTCTTCCTGGGGTCCAGACAATAAAATATCAAAAACAAGCATTACAGTCTAAAAGTAAAAACAACAACAACAAAAACACACAACAAGAATAATCAAAAATAATAATAGAAATACATAAAAATAATGCATAGAAGATAATACATAGAATAATATAATATAGAATAATACACAAGAGATAATACATTGAAATATATATACATTAAAAATACATAGAAAATACTCATTTTCTTAAAAACAATCACAGTAGGTGTGATTTGTCCTGTAAGCTGGGATCATGGTGCACATTTTCAGAGGGTTACTTTCAGAGACATGATTTCAGAATGTTACAGAAATGCTTATACGCAGCCCTCCACCAGTTCCGACACCAGTTCGGTGTGGAGGAAGTTTCTGAAGTTATCTGACCGTCCAACAGCAGCTGGGATTGAATCACCTGGAAGAGTGACCGCTGCATAGGTTTAGTCGTGTATAATCCAGAATCTTTTTCTCACTCACATGCGTATGCCCCCATTCTTCTTACTTGTTTACTTTTGTTCTATGTTGTGTTTATGTTTGTGTCTGTAGTTTCCATGTGTATTTGTTCCTGCTTGCGCCTCTTGGCCGGGTCATGTTTGCAAATGAGAACTGGTTCTCCAACATTTTACCTGGTAAAATAAAGGTCAAATTAATAGATAAATAAAAGACTGTGTGAGCCAAAAGTCCAGTGAATGACCGGATGTTCAGTACCGTTGTTTAACTAAAACCTGTTGTGTTATCTTTTAGTTTACTTTAGTTTATTTACCTCATATATATATATACACAGAATAAGCAATTCATATATAATACATAAGCATTACTGAGGATTTAATTATAATACTCAATAAAAGAATTTTAAAAAAACTCACACGTATGTCAACTTATATCTAGTTTGAGAAGGAACAGAATGAAGCAAAAGCTTTTCTAGTTCTGCCCCTTCTTTACAGTGTCAAAGAACAAACAAACTAGTAAACAAAAGAACAAATAAACAAATAAAAAACGATGAACAAGACTGAGAACAAACTGTAAGTCTTCACCCAAGGTCCCTAAGGTGACTACACATCCCTTGTAGCCTCATCTCAAGTCATGAAACAACATCCACCTAAAATAAATGAGCACAAGCAGCTGTGTGCACCTTAATCCACAAGTTCTACCTCTATGAACAGTGTGAACATATAACGCTACATATATTAATAATAAATAAGAACACAGCGTCTTTGAAATCATTATAAAAATCACACCATTTATTTTAGCCAGAAACTGTAAAAACAGCAAAAAAAATAAAAAAAATCATCAGATGTTCAACTGTCTGATGGTCCTTGAACTACTCATCTGTGATGTGCTGTTTGGTTGGAAAACTTAACCAAACCTAAGCTTAAAATTGCTTCAAAATTTTTTCTAAATGCCAAAATAAACCTTTTCCTCTAAATGGATTCTGAAAAACAGCAAAAAAATTCTACCGTCCTGCGCAGCGATTAGTGACTCGGTTCAGACTTTTCTGCTGAATTTGGCTGAAATGCCGGCAGGTTTACAAACAGGAGACAAATCCATCTATTATCTACACACCGCTTAATCCTCAGTAGGGTCGTGGGGCGATGGATTCTATCCCAGCTGACACCCTGGACAGGTAACCAGTCTGAGGAGACAAGTATGGAAACAAAATTAAAAATTTAGGTACCAATATTTCCATTGTACGTTAGTCAAGAAAAGTAATCAAAGAAATTTAACCTCGATTTTTTTCCTTTATTCCGTTTTTCAACTGCACAAAGACGTGTCTGAGTTCTGTCTCCCTTTAATCATGGCTGTGCTGATTATATCCCAGTGAAATAAACCCACAACATGTACACATGTGACAGGAGCAAAAATAATTAAAAAATGCTTTGAGTTCATAAGATTAAAGCCATCTGGACACCAACATTATGGCATGTGGATCATAGCACCCGTATCACCTGTCTTATCTTAATGAACAGACATTTCTTCTGTTGTGTGTGCACTCAGTACAGCCCGATGAGTACTGACACCGGTCAACCAGCTGATGGCGCTGTTGTCTGCTGATGTATTTTCTCAGTTATCTCCAGTCTGTTCTATAGTTGTCTTTATTGTTTGTGTTTGCTTTCTGATCATTTCTATTTGTGTATGTTGATTCTATGTACGACTTATTCTGTTTACTTCGACATTTTGTTTTGCAGCATTTTACGTTATCTTCTGCCTCCTCCTAAACAAGTGTTCATTACATTTAGTTTTTTTAAAAAAAAGCCTTTTCTCCTTCTAATCATCTCTATTCCTCTTTTTGTCTGCAACTCATCATCTTCTCTTGTCCTCCTCTATGTAGGTCAGTCGCATCCTGTACAGTTTCTCTACAGCCTTTCGGCGTTCGTCGCGGCCTGCAGACATCAGGGACACGACACAGTCCAGTCCGCCCGACGGTGATCTGTACACCTTCACCGTGTCGCTGGAGATCAGGGAGGATGACGGCAAAGGCAACTACAGGTACTTGGCGCACGTGTGCAGATAAACGCAGTTAAATGATCCGCACACATTTTCTTATCGGCGCCGGACTGTCGGTTTGACAGATGTGTTGGTAGCTGGGACGGTTTAATGTGCTGCTGCAATACTACTTTATCTGGCTGCTGTTGTTCAGCCGTAAAGAGCATAAAGCTTATCGTCTCAGTAAGACAATTTTTCCATTTTCACAAGCCATTGTATCTCAGGTTTTCCTTGGAGATGGATTTTCATTTTCTTACTGTTATCTGTTCTCCTCTGAAATAAAATGGCCCAATAGCTGCTCTGAAAGCACAGCAGATGCCCATGTTATATATATAATAGACTCAGGAGAATACTTGAGGGAAGACATGTCGTATTTTATCTTTAACTGGGCTAGTAAAGTAATAATCTTGTTTCAAAGAAGATCTGGAAGAGAAACAGGCAGACAGACGCAGAGGACAATAGTTCATAGAGTGTAAATCACAAAACAACAATACATGAAGTCAAAACGCCTGAGGTGGTACGCCTTACCCGATCCTTCTTCCTCACTGCAGCCCGGTGCCTAAGGACAGAGATAAGTTCTACTTCAAGCTGCGACAGGGGGTCCAGAAGAAGGTCGTGGTTTCAGTTCAACAAATGTGCAACAAGGAGCTGGGCATCGAAAGGTGAGGATCACTTGAAAAGTATTACGCATGACGTGACAACGGGTGTCACGCTGTATTTATCCCTCACCCTGTTTGTTCAGGAGGGAGTTCATTTTCACAGTTTGCCCCGTGTTGTTCTTCCACACCAAGTCTACGTCTTTTACTTCTGTTAACACTTTTTTGGGGGGGTTAGTTTCTGATTATTTCGTCAGACTGTATATTTTCTAGTCTGTCTCAGCAGGACAAAGGAAATAATACAAAATATATGGCCTTGTTATAAACTCCATTTTAGTAAATTATTTGATGATTTTCCATATGAAGGCACTACACTGCTTTAAATGTTCTTTCTCAAGGACAATGTACACACACACACACACACACACACACACACACACACACACAAGCACACTGGCCCAAATGTGGGAACAACAACAACAACAAAATTGCTCACAACTTCTGCAGTCGCACCGTTTTCTGTGTTTGTATGAGCGCTAATGAAAAACTAGGTCACTTCCACTTTCCATCCTCAGCCTTTGCCTCCTATTGCTATCAGAGGGAGACAGACACCTGCCCTCTCTTTTTATTTTTAGTATCAGTGAAAACCCCCATTGTGTTTGGAACTAATCCTTTCTGAGGTGTTCAGCCCGTGTGTGACGGCGCTTTATTAATATTCGTTTTTTCAAATAGCCTCCGTCTTTGTGGTTAATTCGCTGTTTGGTTTTGCGTCACGTTTGGTGTCGATGCGCTACGTTTTTGCTGCGTATTTGTTCCTGAGCTGCTGCCAGGCCCCTCGGTGACAAACATCGTCTTTTATCTGGAACTGTTCTTGCTCACAATGTCACGTATACGTTACTAAAATGTCACTCAGTAAGACATGTGAGTCCTACTTTGAAAAATAAAGAATCTTGTGTAATTGAGGGAGCAGCTGTGAATGTATCTCAATAAAATTCACACTAGAAGCTGGAGTTGCTCCTCCTACATCAGGCTGAAGGGGCTTTACATAGCAACTTGGGTTATTTTTATGAACTTGAACTAAATAAACTCTCAGTGTGCTATAAATTAAGGACGTCACCGGGTTACTGTTTGTTGAATTTTTGTGTGATATCCTTAAAACGTTGAGGCCACAGCTCAGCTTGTCTGGACCCTCTCCAGGGTGCTGAATTAAAGCCAGCAGCAGCGCCACAAGCTGGGTGTTTTATTATAATGAAAGGGCTTCCTGGAATAGGTGTCTTTGAGCTGCGCAGGTTAAAAAGATATTACCTTTTATTGATCATGCATTTTAAAATTGGACATTGCCTAACCCTGGTTCTTGAAGTCCTTTCTGATGGTTGTGTTTTTCTTGTAGCATCACAGGACCAGAGGGTCATCTTAGTGAATTACCTGAAGCGTGCTGTGCTTTAACATTTTATTATCGCGTGTGCGAGTGGTTTGACCATCTTCCTTCCCCTCTCAACTGACTGGCGAGTGCAGGGTGTGTCGGAGCTCGATCCCAATCTATCAGAAATCAAACTGTGTGAGATCGCTCCTG